TGTAGTAGAGGAGGTAAAACAACATGAATAGTGTCTTACTTGAAGTTCTTTGTCAAAAAATTCAGTCCAACAGCAATTTGTTTTGTCTGCACAATGTGAGAAAAGATAATTTTTCCCCACTAAATAAACATTTTCGTGTTATCTACATTTGTACATCCCAAAGCATATTTCAGACAGCATTGACGTTTGTAGCATAACTCATTAATGTCAGTATTTTCAAGTTTGTAATTCCGAAAGTTCTTATAGCTTAATGTTTTAGGCGCTAGCTAATCCTCTGGACTTACTTTTCCTGGGAAAAATAGAAACACTGCTTCCCTTTTTGAGTTATTAGAAATATATTTTTTAGACATTTGGCATTTTACATTTGTAATTATTTTAAACTCTAGAGGAATGGGAAAACTCAAGAAGAATGTGTAAGGATCACTAGATCCAGTTTCCTATTAGGAAACAGAAAGTCAACAAGAATTCACTGAGTTAAAATTAGAAGCTCTACCATGGTTGTGAAATAAGATAAAGTGATGTGTTACTGACAGAGGGTGAGGTCACCTTTTCTGTGTCTTGAGATATAATAAAGATGTGTGATACTGGGAGAGTGAGAAACAGCAGTGGGGGGTGGAGGAAGAAGAGGAAAAACCACAATTTTTGTTTTAGTTTTGTGAAAAGCTTTTAACAGTGCTACGTTTTATCCTTTACATTTTTATCTGGAAATAAGTTGTCAAAAGAAAAGTCTTAAAACAGAATCTGTATGATTCCATTTACATAACATTTTCAAGATACCAGAATTATAGAGATGGAGAACAGATTAGTGGTCACCAGGGGTGAGGGATGGGGCAGAGGGTTCTATCAGTTTTTGCTTTGTGCGTTTTGAAGCTTTGTGTTTGGTGCATAAGCATTTGGGATTGTTATGCCCTCTTGATTAATTCACCTAGCTGTCATGATAAAATGGCCTTCTCTATCCCTGGTAATTTTCTTTTCTGTTAATGCTACTTCATTTTCATTCGATTAGTGTTAGTATGATAAGCACAATAGATCGTCCTTTCTTTTCATCAACCTGTGTCTTTATATTTAAAGGTGTTACTTATAGGCAGTATGTAGTTTTTAATCCTGCTTTTTTATCCAGTCTGACACTTAGCTTTCAGTTGGGGCATTTAGACCATTGAGTGCAATTATTGATATGGTGAGGTTTGAGTCTGTCATCTTGCTGTTTGTTTCCTGTTTGTCTCATCTGTTCTTTGAGCCTCTTCTACTCCTTTCTGCTTTCTTTTAGATTGAATACTTTTTATGATTCTATTTCTTCTACTTTGCCGTCTTATTAGTGACAGCATTATTTATTTTGTAATTTTAATTGACTGAGAGTTTATTGTACACAGATTTAAATTATATCTACTTTCAAATGGTATTATATTATACCACTACACATATAGTACAACAAACACTAGTATACTTACATTTCTCCCCTCCTGACCTTTATGCTATTGTCATACATTTTTATGCTATTGTCATACATTTTTATGCATGCAGATGTTATAAATCCCATACTAAATTGCTGCTGCTATTATTGAAACAAGCAGTGATCTTTAAAGAGATTTAAATAATAAGAAAAACTCTTACTTATTTACCCTTGCGGTTAATATTACCTGTGTTCCTTATTCCTTTGTTTAGATTTATATTTTCATCTGGGATTATATATATTCCTTCTGCCAGAACTTCCATTAGCATTCTTATAGTGTGGGCCTGTTGCTATTTTTCCTTTCAGCCCTATCTGTCTGAAAAAGTCTAACACTTTTATTTTTCATGAGTAGTTTCTCTGGGATGACGATATTTTCTTTTTGTACTTTAGAGATGTTTCTTCATTGTCTTCTGGCTTGCATTATGTTCATAAGAAGTTTGCTACCATCCTTAGTATTGTCCCCTTACATAATATGCCTTTTTTTCTCTGCCTGCTTTTAAGATTTTCTTTTTATCACTGATTTTGAACAATTAATTATGCATGTTATGATTTTATTTCTTTTTTTGTGCTTTGGGTTCGTTAGGCATCTTGGATATGTGGGTTTATAGTTTCCTCAAATTTGGAAACATTTCAGACATACTTTTTTCATATATTTTTCTGTTCTCTCTTTTGCAGACTCCAGTTATACATATTAAAACACTTGATACTGTCTTATGGTTTACTGATACTGTTTTTTCTTTTTAATTTTCTTCCTCTATGTTTTTATTTTAGATAGTTTCTATTATTATGTTTTCAAGTTCATTCGTCTTTTCTTCTGCCATTAATTTCATCCAATGTGTTTTTCAATTTGGGTCTTTTTAAAAGAAATCTTCTCTGCCTCTACTTAAGTGTTAATCTATGAGGAATGCTGTTTTTAATGCATTTGTTAATTCTACTGTCTGAATATAATATTCATATCCCCTTTTCAATAATTGATTTATTTCTTTTTTTCTCATTATGAGCCACATTTTCCTGCTTCTTCGAATGCCTAGTGGTATTTGACTGGATGCCAGATACTGTGAATTTTACCTTTTTGGATGATGAATATTTTTGTATTCCTATAAATGTTCTTAAGCTTTTTTATGGGACACAGTTAAGTTACTTGGGTTAGATTCTTTTATGTCTTGCTTTTATTTTATTTATTTATTTATTTTTTTGAGTTGGAGTCTCACTCTGTCGCTCAGACTGGAGTTCAGTGGCTACTCCCAGCCACCGCAGCCTCGACCTGCTGGGCTCCGGCAATCCTTCTGCCTCAGCCTTCCAAGTAGCTGGAACTATAGGTGCGCGCTACCACACCCGGCTAATTTTTTGATTTATTGTAGAGATGAGGTCTCGCCAAGTTGCCCAGGCGGGTCTCGAACCCACGGGCTCAGGCAATCCACTCACCTCAGCCTCCCAAGGCTCGGGATTACAGGCTGAGCCACCGAGCCCGGCTAGGTCTTGCTTTTAAAATTCACTTGGTGGAACCACAGCAGCACTTAGTGTAGGGCTAATTGTTCCCTACTATGGAGTCAATACCCTTTTGAGTACTTTACTTAAAGTGCCATGATTATGAGATTTTCTAATCTGTCTGGGAATAGACACTGTTCAGAGCCCAGAGTGAGAATGAAGTAACATTCCCTCTATTCTCAGATGGGTTTTCTCCTAGCTCTTGAGTAGTTTCATCATACGCATGCACTGATCGGTACTCTGTTGAAAACTCGAGAACCTCTGCAGATCTCTGCGTCTTCTTTCTTTGTAGTCCTCTCCTTGCTTTTGTACTGACCTATGAACTCTAGTCATTTGATATATCTGAAACTTGCAACTCTATCTCTTCGACTCAGAGAGTTGGCAGGTTTCACTGGGGTTCTCCTTTTCTACATGTGGCCTGGAAACCCTCTCAAGGGAGTAAGCTGGGGTAATCATAAGGTTCACCCCATTCTCATCTCTGAGGGGTCTCTTTCCTGCATGGCATGTGTGGGGTGTCTGTGAATAGTTTTTTCATATATTTTGTTTTTGTTTTTGATTGTCTCAGGTGGGAGGGTAAATTGAATTCCTGTTACTCCATCCTGGTTGAAAGTGGAAATCCCAAATCAGATTTATTTTTTATATAGATAATGTCATTATTAGTTGAAGAAGAAAGCTGTATTTTAACCATTTATGGGTAAGCCAATTTCTAAACATGCTTGCTATGTTTGAAGTTTATGAAGATGTGAAGGGACTATTGAAAAGAAAAGAAAGTAAAAACTTCCTCTTTCCCCAGACTTTTCTGTTCTGCCCTTTTAGTCAGTTGTTGCTGTGTTCCCTTATTAATTAGAGCGTCCGTGTTCCTTTTGAAGAGGGACATTTTTAAAGAGGTCTGTGAATATGCTGCTCAAAATATATGGAGGATGTTATCAGTAAAATTATCATGGTCTTTATATTTTAACCCAAAGTGACTAAAACTTTGACAATCAAATATTATAGAGGAAACATAATGAGAGAGGGAACTTACTAGATACTGAAATTAAATGTATAGTCATTAAATATTGAGGTAACGATGCTAACTAATATAGATGGATTAGTGCATCAAAATAGAATGTCCGCAGACAGACTTGTAAATGTGTTGTAAATATTAGCATGAAAGTTATAGTTCAGTGATGAGTTCTTTAGTAGATAGTGTCAATATGATTGGCTAACTCACTGAAAAAAAAGATTAAAGTTAGATTTTCTTCCTATATCTTATACTCAGATATATTCGAGATAGGTTAAAGATACAATTTTAAGGTATTGGAAGAAGATATCAGCAATTCACATAATCTTGAGGAAAAGAAGGACATAAAGGGTACAACCATAATGAGAAAGATTGATATGATGACAGAAGATTGATATGATTTTATATGGCAAAAAAATCATTATAAGCAGAATTTCAATATCCTTACTATATAAAGATTCCTTATAAAGTAGTAAAAAAAAATGAATATCTCACTAGAAAAATGGACACAGGACAGGATTAAGTCATCATAGTATATTTATATATATATACACACATATATATATAAATGTCCTGTAAATACCTATTTTTAAAAGTTTTACTTTGTAATAGTAACAATTAAAAATAATATAGTAATAGTAGCTATCATTTCTTTTACGTTTCAAGTTACCTGATTATGTTAAATGTTTTCAATAGATTAGCTAGTTTAAACTTTTAAAAAGCAAGTATACTATTATAATCATTTTAGAAATGTAATTTGATACAGGAGATTAAGGACTTTTGTCACCCTGAGGTGACAACGCCATCAAATGGTGAACCCAGGCCATCCGACTCTGCTTGTCCTCACTTCTCACTAAAACAAATTAAAACTGAAATTCAATTACAGTTTACAGAGAAATGAATCATTTTCTCAAGATCACACACCTTGTAACTGATAAATTCAGTCAGAAATTTTGAAGGAAAAATAATGTAAGTAGAAGAAAGGCAAACAGTAAAATAAGCAAGGTAAGCAACAAAGCGAGTGTGTTTTAATTTTACACATTCACTATTTCTTTTCAGAATATTTAAAAGATGCTTCAAAGAAGATGAAAAGTGGTCTTATGTTTGTAAAACTGGTTAGCCCATCTTCAGGTAAGTCCTCTTCTCTTATGATGATGATAACTTGAATGTTTTTGAACTTTGTGACTGATAAGTGTGTATACCTATCTGTCTTTGTATCTTCATTCCTTCTGGATAGCTCTTAACGTTAAGACAGCAGCATGAGGTGACAAAAGCAAGCTGATGACATTACTAGTCTTCCCATAAAATTCATTTGACCTAAACTTTTTTAAATTTCTTCTTATAATTTTCATTTACAGAACTATTCAGTCATTAGAAATACTGGCAAAACAAAAAGTAGCATGTTTGAGTTCCCTCTGAAAACACAGTAATTTTCTTTGGCTTTCTTAAGCCAACTTTTCTTAGAGTAGTTATTCAACATTAGCCTCCATTTATATTCATTTCATGTTATAAAGTAAAATAAACAATCAGAGTTAAAAGAAATCTAGCAGGTTTTTACTTGACATGCCAAGCTTTTGATTAGTTTAAGTTTTAGCTATACTTTCTTGTTAGAGGTTGATTCTTTTTTTTTTTTTTTAATTAAAAGCATTGTATGTTGAAAAATTCATATTTTATTGGAAAAGAATTTGATGTTAATTTTATGTTCAGTACATTTTCAGCTTTGTCTTCTGATTTTTAGGCAAACTAGTGAAAATATTCTAAATATGTAGTGATATTGGTGATATTATTTATCTGTGTGGAATTGTTTTTCTATTAGCTTATAAGATTTTAAGTAGATACATGATACTTAATCAAATCAGAGCTTCCTCCTGGTGACCATAACACTGAATAACAAAAGTAAGGGAAAACCAGCGGGTAGTACGTTGTTGGAGAAACATGTACGTAGAAGCAACGAGAAGGAAGAACGTCCTGACTTCCTCCAGTGTCCTTTTCTTCAAAATGAAATTGGATGTCATTGGCCAGCCATATTTGGAATTCTTAGTTATGTTATGTATAAGACTAAGCTGAGGTGAGAAATATTTATTTGAGAAGTTTTTTAGGTAGCAGCAAAAGTTCTAAAGCATTTAACAGAACAGGTACAAAAGAAAGCCAGACTTCTTCTAAAACGTCTGTTTTATCTAAATGCCCATAGATAACAGGGGGAAAAGGTTTTTATTTGTTCCATTGGCAATGGAAAAGTAAATACTAACATTTGCTGAGTACTTACTATGTGCCAAATACTGTTTAAGGAAATGTACATGTGTTCTTTTTTAATCTTTATAAGAACTCAGTGAGGTAGGTTCAGTTTTGCCCCAGTTTTGCAGATGTGGAAACAGAGGCACAGAAAGGTTTATGTAACTTCCCCAAGTGGTGGAGATAGATGAAAACTCAGGCTCCTTGACTCTAGAGATTGCGCTGTGGTTAGAAAAAAAATTCCATGAACTGTAGGGATAAAACATTCAGATGTGCACGAGCTTCACCCCTTTCTACCCTTTTTATTAAGGAAGAAAGGGAAGAAATCGTCTGGTTGAGGTTCCAGCTGCTTAGAAGGCTGAGGCCGAAGGATCACATGAGCCTAGCAGGTCAAGGCTGTGATGGCACCCAAGCACCAGGGACCCACAGGCCAGCTCAGATCATCTTGCTGAACTGTTGGGCTTTGGTAGTTTTGGAAAGGGTTTGCCCTCCAGATCTGATGGAGGATTTAGTGAGAGGCTGTGTAGCAGTTAAGATAAATGACTTGCACTTTCTCATTTTTTTGGTTTAAGTTCAGTAGGGATTATAAAGCTGGAAAACAGGTGTCTGTGTGCAGTAGCGCTAAGCTTTCCTTCCAGTCCATTTGTGTAGAATGTATCCATGTATGTTTATGTTTGTATCAGGAACATTCTTTAGAACTATTTGATGTGTGTCTCTGTGCGTGAAAACTTGCAAATAAAAAACAGATTTCTCTTAACAGGAGAAGGAGCCCTTTACTTGTTCAACATGTGTCTACAGCAGCTGTTTGAAGTAAAAGTTTTCAAAGAAAAACACCATTCTTGGTTTATAAATCAATCGGTTCAATCAGGTGGGTGACTAGTGTATACATTTCCATTAGTTAAACACATGCTCTGGGTTTTTCATCCTTCACACATGGGGTTGTGGGTCTGTCCACCTGATTGGGAGTCTGGTCAGTGGTTTAGCTCTCCTTGGCATCAAGCGGATTTAGTCAAGGAAAAAGGAAAGATCATTTGAACACTAAGTTTAGGTCATTACCTGTGTGTTATAGATGGTAGGAAATTTTAAACTACCAACTCTGATTTGTCTCCTAAAACACTGACACATCCTTAGTCAGAAGTTAGATTTGTACCATGGAGCGCACATTGTGTTGACAGGAAACACTTTCTTTTGAGCATCTCCAAACTGTTCCCATCTATTTCCTTGAAACTGGATACTGATTTGGTTTCTAAAATAGACCAGAATATTAAAAAGTTTCTTTAAAATTTTTGTCATATGAATTCCTGCACTCCCCTCCCCCATACACATATACATACACCCCCTCTACCACCAAAGTGCTGTCTCTCTTCATGTCCTCCTAATTTGGGGGCAGTACTGACTCAGAGGGGAAAAGGATACCAAGAGAACTGTGTTTCTGCCTCACGCTCTGCAGCTTGTTGGGTTGGACAGTCAGTGGATATTCGAGGCATTCCACATTCTTCTGTCCACAGACCACAGAAAGAATTGCGCACAAAAGAAAATGAGACTTGTTTTCTCCGGGTTTCATCCTCAAAAGCACAGAAACTTATGTTGGTACTGCAGTTGTGTAGACTGACAATTAGGTTTCCTAATGTTTGCCAGGTTTGCATTCTGTTTGTGCTTCCTCTCAGCCCCTGTTTTTTGAGAGGGTGGTTGAGGGGCTCTGTTAAAAATGATTCCTTGCCAGGTGCAGTGATTCACACGTATAATCCCAGCACTGTGGGAGGCTGAGGCAGGAGGATTGCTTGAGCCTAGGAATTTGAGACTAGTCTAGGCAACATAGTGAGACCTCACTTCTACAAAAAAAATTTTACAACTAAGTGGGCTTGGTGGTGTGTCCTGTAGTCCCAGCTACTCAGGAGGCTGAGGCAGAAGGATCACCTGAGCCCAGGCGCTCAACAGTAAGCACTGATCATGCCACTGCACTCTAGTCTGGGCGACAGAGTGAGACCCTGACTCCAAAAAAAAAAAAAGATTCCTAAGGAAGAAACGAAAAGTTAAAGATGGATCTCAATGCCATTGGCTCTCCTCTCCACACAGGGATTTGAAGCTCTTTGCAGTAAATCTCATAAAGCACTTTCTACCTCTTAAGAGAATCACATAGTCTCTTGGGCCTGTGTGAGAAGATCTTCTGAATTTGATACTTCACATGTATTTATCAACAAATGGTTTTCACATTGGGATTAAGGGGAAATAACCCAACTGTCTTCCCAGGATGCTCCCTTCCCCTTGTTCTCTTTGTAATCTACAGGAGGTCTTCTCCACTTTGCCACCCCCATGGACCCGCTGTTTCTGCTCCTCCACTACCTCATCAAGGCTGATAAGGAGGTGAGCTTCCCTGTTTGGGGCATTTACAGTGAGGAAACAGAATTGACTATTTTTGCTTGATCTCCTCTCTCCCCTTTGAATGACCCCGGTGTGTCCTCCCAACACTTCGGGTTTAAGGTAGTGATGGTAGAAAACTTGTAATGAGTGTGTTGGTACAGGGCAGAACCCCCTGCACTAGCCTGAGTCTTGCACCTGTGTCTTGATCCAGTTCAACACAGCTTGCCCGTGACCCTTGAACTGTCTAACTCACAGTGCTGTGTGCCTTACTACTGACAAAACTAACCATAATACTTTAATCATTAAGTACTCATTAGATTTGAAATACAAATGTGAGCCGGGCTCAGTGGCTCAGCCTGTAATCCCGCGCTTTAGGAGGCTGAGGTGAGTGGATTGCCTGAGCCCACGGGTTCGAGACCCCCCTGGGCAGCGAGACCTCATCTCTACAATAAATCAAAAAATCAGCCAGGCGTGGTAGCGCATGCCTGTAATTCCGGCTACTTGCAAGACTGAGGCGGAAGGATCGCCGGAGCCCAGCAGGTTGAGGCTGCAGTGACTGGGAGTGGCCACTGCACTCCAGTCTGGGCGATAGAGTGAGACTCCAACTCAAAAAAAAAGAAATGCAAATGTGAAAAAACTGACCACAGGCCTTGGGAGAAGGAAGAATATCCTCTTTTATAAGACTTCTTATGAGAGACTGTGAAGTAGATAAACTGGGGCGTGTCTGTAAGGAATCCCAGAGGGATAAAATTTACATTTGTATTAGAAATAAAGGCCAGGCACGGAGGCTCATGTCTGTAATCCCAGCACTTTGAGAGGCTGAGGTGGAAGGATAGTAGTCAGTAAAGGGAGGAATAATATAAGCTTTTCAGATAACTGTGGATATTCTTTGTTACTACTTCAAAATTCAACAAAAGGTAGTTTCTTAAAGGTTAGTTACAATATAGAATCTGAATCATTGTCAATAAATTTTCCGTGTTAAGTTAAAACAAAAAGCAATTGGTCTAGCTTTCACTTAAAATGGATCTTTTTTACCTATGAATGACTTTGTAACATCATACTTTGGTCATTTGGAAAAGATTGGTTCACTGAGTTATGCAGATCTTCCAAATTTGATGCATCTCATTACACACACACACACACACACACACACACACACACACACACACACACCCTTATTACTATCACCATTGATCTCATGATAAAGCTCTCTAAAGTATTGGGAAGCTGTCATAGTGGTGGATACAAGTTTTCTACAATTCTGATTTTTGTTCAAAAGCACAAATTATACCGTTGACTATAAGTACTGACACTATTTCCCTTGAAATGACAGGTTCACTTCATTTACATTCTGCCCAGTACCCAGGTCTGAATCATCATTTATAGTGAATTTTTCAAGTAAAAATGACATTCATAAAAAAGTGGCTAGTTCTGCTTACAACTCAGACAGCCATGCTTCCTTGGTGATCAGCTGCCTCAGTTGCATGATTCGGCAGAATGCCAGACCTCATATTCACCACAGAGTATTTATAAGACTTGTGCTCAGGAGTCAAGATGTAAATAAAAATCAATTGCTTTTACTACTTGATCAAGGATCGATCATCTTAAGTAAGACTGGCATTTTTTAAACTGCAAGTGCATGCAAGTACAGTGATGAGTAGGACAGTCTGGTGCCACCGCCTTGACTTATTCTAAGGAACCAGCAGTTCACCCACCATTGCATTTGAATCATCAATGCAGATGTCAACACAGTGAAAATGCAGATAGCATCTTAGCATTATTAGGAAAATAGTGTTGAGCTTGGACACCTCGGAAGGGTATTGCAGTCCCTCATGAATCCATCTATCTTATTTTGTCCTTAGACCAAGTTCCTAAAACTTTCACTTTGTAGGTAAATTAAGTTGCTTTAAATGCTGACAGGAATAAAGCTTTAATGCATGCTTTCTCTTGCTGCAGCTTAGCCTCTTATAGTCTTCTCCTTCCCTGCGCTCTGCCCTTCACTGTGGATTAGTGAAGTTTTATCCCTTAGTTTAATCACTGTCCCTGTATCTGGAAGCTGCTGTGATAGCCAGTAGAATGAGGGCACACAAGCAGTGAGACTGGTAAGCCACGTGTCTCTAAGGAGCAGAAATGGTCCTAGGCACCACCAGGAAGACCCTGGGAGCATTCAGGGAGGAAACCGAAAACCTCAGCGACTTACCACTCTAGGATAAATTAACAAGTAGAAGGATACCAACCAGCCCCAAGACATGCATTGATGTACATTTAAGGCTCCCCCCGCCCCCTTCTGGTAACATTTCCCCATCTCATTAGGACCGTTACTCTAATGGACTTACCCTAGCCTGGGCCCTCTGGGAGCCTCCAGGCTGCTGTGGCAAGTGCAAGTTGACAGGTGCAGAATGAAGCAGAAAAGCTGCCTGTGGTGGCAGCTGGCTTCCATCTTAAACCGTTGTACTTTCTCTCCCCAAGTACTAGAAATGCCCTTTAAAGTAACACTAATGATGGTTAAGTATTTCCTTCCGGACATTTTAAACATGATTATTTCCTATTTAGTTAAAAAAAAATTGGAACACACTTTTGAAATTTGACCTGTTCTTTTTTAATTACAAGATTTATTTCAACATCAGTAAAAATAACTCTTCTTTCTAGCTATCTCAATTGCTATTGACTTTATAGACAAAGCATATTGCCTATTGCATTTTCTTATAGTGTGGTAAAGAAACAAGAATGAAATACTAGTTAATTATGAAATTATTTTATATCATGACTGTGTGGTAGTCCATTATATATAAATATTATTTTATAGTAGTTAAATATCTAAAATATCAGTTGATCATAGAAGAATATAGTTCTAAGGTAGAGGTCTAAAACTTTGGGAAATATGTGCATTATTCTCAATATGTGAAGGAAAAAGAACATTTAAATTGAGACATTTCGTGGCACTTGTTAAACTAGAAAGTATGACAGTCTGTCACACATACTACTGAATGATTGACTTCACCCTTAAAACCCAAGAAAGCAGTATTTACAGAAAGAAAACCAGTCAGATGCAGTTTTTGTGTCTTCAGAAGATGTTGTCACAGAAACAGAAGAGTAAAGTGAACTAGAAGTCGACATGGGCAAGACCATGCATTTGTTACAAAGTCCAGTGTCTCCAAGTCAGGGGGCTGATAATTAGACAAACTTTACCTCTCCCTGCTGCTGGGAAGTTAAGAAAAACTAAACCTAATTGCATAGAATACTGTTCTGAATTCTTATGGCCTGCACTTCTGGCCTCTGGCAACCAGGCCACATATATGTATCTAGAGGAACCTGATTTAGCGAGTCCGTAGCCTCTAGCTATCTTTTCTTCAATTCTTGTCTGCATTTAGAAGTATTGTCAGGGAGCTCTGATAGGAATAGATTCACTTTTGGTGTTTTCCTTTTTGGGCGGGTGCGTCTTTCCTCAGTCCTAGAGTGAGGACATTGGAATGTTCTGGGCCTGGCCTGGGCTTGTTCCTGTGTGATATCAGGACCCCTGCTCTGTGACCTCAGCCGATTCTTCAAGTTGAATGGGCTGGACCAGCCCCATCTTTGCAAGCTTCTGTGGCTTCCAGTGCTTTTCTAGATGTTGATTCCCTGCTTCACCTGGTGACTGTATCGCATGCCTGAGGGAGATGGTGTGCTGCTTGAGTCCCCGGGCTCACAAGAGCTTTCTAGAGGGTACTGAGTCTGTCCTAGAGCCTATTCCAGCATAGGGGTTCCTCAGAAGCAACAAACAGCTCCGAACTAAGTTAAAGGCCCAGCCATGGGGGAATGTATCTTTTTTTCTTCTTTTTCTGTATGTTTGTTGACTGGAATATTGGAATTCTGACTGACTAAAGTGTTTGTTATTGTTTTGTTTTTTAGGGAAAATTTCAGCCCCTAGATCAAGTTGTGGTGGATGACATGTTTCCAAATTGCATCTTGTTACTGCAACTTCCAGAACTTGAGAAGTTACTTCGCCATGTGACAGAGGAAAAAAGTACTGTATATGGGCCTTTGAAATTTGACTTGTGGCTAGGCCTTTAGAATGTAGCTGTTTAAAGGCCTGTGAATGTAATGCCTATTCTGTGTAGGCCATGGGGAAATCTGTCATTCAGACTTCTTTTACTCTTAGTACTGTTTCTCCATTGCTTTGGCTGGTTCAGTCTTTGGAACTGCAACCCATGCCATTGGGCAGCCTGTCTCCTATAGGGGAGGAATCACAGGATGTGGCCTTAGTCTCTATTCTTTTTTAAACCAGTTCTGTGACTTTAGGCAAGTCACTTAACTGCCTCAGATTTCTTATTTGTAAAATTATGCACAACAGTACCTTAATGAATTCAAGAAGCATTTATTGAGCACCTATATTGCATACTAGTGCTAAGTCCTGGATACTTCTTAGACATTGTCCTTTTCTTCATTTTGCAGCGAGTCTGGTGGGGGCCAATGACAAGCCAGGCAGTGACAGTGTAATGGAATGGCAGTAAATCCTGGATTTTCTGGGGACATACAGGACAGGCTTTAGCCAACATTGGGTGGGGAATTCTGGTGGGTGGGTACATAGGTGTTGTGTTGCTTTACTGGGGGAAATGACCTCTATATGGAGTCCTGAAAGATAAGTCAGAGAAGCAGCATAATGAGGCTTGAATGTGTGGAATGTTTTATCATGTTTAGGAAATTCCAAGGAGTTCAGTGTATGGGATGCTGGGGAGGGATTTGGGCTGATAAGCCATGGGCAGGAATGCTGGGCACGGGTACAGATGGTGAAGCGCCTAAGTGAGTTTGGACTTTGCCTGATGGTAGTGGAGTATCTGTGAAGTTTTGAGCAAGTCAGTGTTGTAGTGTGGAGAATATATCAGAGAAGCTAAGGCCAGGTCCCCAGAAACTGTTGCAGTGATCTAGGCAGGAGATCACAGTAGCCTGAGCTTAGGAGATGGAACTAGAAGGAAATAGCCATTTAGAAGTGGAACCAGCCACATCTGGTGATTGGATGGTAGTCAAGGAGGAGGAGTCAAGAATGACTTCTGGGTTCATGCCTGACCCACAAGTTGTATAGGGAATCCTGGAGACAGGGAACATGGGCCAGAGGGGCAGGCCAGAGTAATAAGGAGGTGAGTGTGACCAGGTGTGGCAGTTCACACCTGTAATCCCGGCATTGGGAAGCCAAGGTGAGAATATTGCTTGAGCCTAGGAGTTCGAGGCCAGCCAGGGCAACATAGTGAGACCTCGTCCCTACAAAAATTAAAAAATAAAAAATTAGCCAGATGTGGTGGCACATGCCTGTAGTTCCAGCTACTTGGGTGACTGAGGCGGAAGGATCGCCTGAGCCCAGGAGGTCAAGGCTGCAATGAGCTGTGATCATGCCACTGCACTCCAGCCTAGGTAACAGTGGGACTCTGACTCAAAAAAAAATAAAATTTTTGGATATTACTCATTTAATTTTTGAGAGGGGGACGTGAGGCCGTGTGTGTGATTGTGTTTTGACAGGCTAGAAACACTATACATACTTGGCATCGGTGTCTCAAAAAATCATCAAAGTAGTTTTAGGGTTAATAGGAAAAGAAGTCTGGGAACCACAACATCAGGCTGATAAGTTGTGGCTGTTTGGGGTCATAGATGGTTTGGCCAACTATGACAGTTCTTCTGGGACCAAGAAAGTGGTGATTGCAAGAAATGTAAGCTTACGGTGGGAAAGGGAGAACCTCATTGATTGCATTTTGTGTTTGAGAGGTCTAGTAAATTCATACTTGGCCACACTTGGAGCTCCAGTTTGGATCTGAGCGGTGTGTGGTGCCAAAGATTTATCAAAGCAGCCCCATTAAAGATATTCCCTGATGCTGAGTTTGGCAGGAGACAGCAATCTTTTTGTGGGTAACAAATGAAGTAGCCCATAACTGTTTTTGAGAGCTAAAGTAGTGAAGAATAATTACAAGTCATTTTAACTTTTGTCAACTTAACACAAGTTGAAAATGCAATTAATTCATTATCCAGAATTCTGCCATTAGCGATTAAAGCAAAACCCAGAAACCCAGAATCAGAAGCAGTATTAGCGCCTTGGTGTTTGCGTGCTTACAGTCTGCAGCTGGGAGCAAGAACTTCTCTCTCTCATCCCTTCCCTCTTGCACAGCGAACCCCTGACTATTTATTGCATCATTACCTAAACCTCTGTCCCAGTCTCCTCTACTTTTCAACACCGCCCAACCTTTGGAAATTCTGCACTTCCATTTTTCACGAAGTTTTATGACCAGACTTTATATTTACCAGATTTCGGCCAGGTGCAGTAGCTCACATTTGTAATCCCAGCACTTTGGGAGGTTGAGGCAGGAGGACTGCTTGAGCCCAGGAGTTCAAAACCAGCCTGGGCAACATAGCAAGGACCGACCTCTGTCTCTACCAAAAAATCAGAAAATTAGCCCGGCTTGGTGGGGTGCACCTGTGGTCCTGCTGCTCAGGAGGCTGAGGTGAAAGGCTCACCTGAGTCCAGGAGGTTGAGGCACTGGTGAGTCATAATTGTACCACTGCACTCCGGCCTGCATGACACAGTGAGACCCCCGACTTAAAAAGCAAGCCACATTTCTAAAACTCTAGGTCTCAAATTTTTCTTTCTTTATACTTATGTGACAGTAAAGCAAAAAATAAAGTAATTCAGCTATTAAATTTCACACAGTAAAAGATGTATGCCATCTCTAGAGTTTCGGCAGTTTCTTTATATACAAATTCTTCCCTTAATGAGCTGCAGCCTATAAATTTTGAAATAATGGAATATTTAAAAAACAGAACCAAAAAAATTTTTAAATAGAGGTAAAAAGAAAGCATAGGATCTCAAATGCCTCATCCTCAAAAAGGCCTCTGCATCAAAATTCACATAAGCAATTCCATGTTACTTGCCTCACCTCTTGACCCAAAACATATATATATATATATATATATATATATATATATATATATATATATATGAAACATTTCTCTTTATGTAAGGTCTGTGTGCAAAGACAGTGGCCTGAGATAGACATCTTTTTCCAAGAAAATCTAAGGGAATGCTCGGCATTTGGAAGTTTACAACTGGTTCTTAGAGCTTGTCAAACAAGACAAGTGTAGGACATACACTTTTTTGTTTTTTTGGTCCGCCTGCCTCAACATACACTTCTAATGCAGCAGAACTTTCATTGCTTTGAATATGTTATTTAATCCTTGCAATAATTTTCTTTCACTATATATCATAACCTGCATTTTCACACATGAGAAAACTGAGGCTCAACGAGTTTAAGTAAAAATAAGTAAATAACAAAAATTTTAAAAGCTTAAGTCACTTGACTAACACTACAGAACTTGATGTGGTAGAACCAGGACTTGAACCCATGTCTGTCTGACAGCAACTCTTGGCCTTCCTTCTTAAAGCTGTTTAACACTTCCAAATACTCTGTTAGAGTTTGTGGGTGGTATCTTATATGAAAATGGAAACTTGATTTTTAAAAAGATTTTGTATATCCCCTCTTGATACTTTCCATTTGTGTGGCAGAAAGAGGGAGACGAGAAAGGAGACAGAGAGAACTTACATACTTAAGGAAAAGGCTATTCTCATCTCTGCAGTGACCTTTCTAGAGTTTCTAGGCGCTGTATTGCCCTACAGGTCAGCTTTTAGTGATTGTGTTGGATACTGGCTGATTTTTAAAATTTGGATTCTTGTCCACTTATAAATTCGTGTCTGATGCCATTCTCTGTAATTTACTTCTAGATTTTTTAAATTAGAAAGGAAGAAGACTACTGAAGGGTGGTCGGTTAATATTCTTGACCGGAGGCAAGTAAAGAAGAAAGCTGATGTTTTTAACTTCCATCCTCTCTACTTAAGCAGTTAGCGCAAAGTCTGAAATACTCAAATTCCCCAGCCAGCTGTTTTGATATTAAACTCCAGATGCTGTCTTGAACTTCTATGACATTAAAGACCTGGCTAAGCCTGCTTGTGAGAACCTTCCCTCCTGCCATCTCCCAGATGAATAAACCCAGCCACAGTTGTTTGTACCCTGAATGATGATGGTGGTGACCTTAGCCCTGCCTATTTTATTAGCGAAGGAAATGATGTGTCTCTGTTTGCTAGTTCTGGGGCTCAGAGCACATTTCTTGCCAAAGAAGCTCACATTCAGTGGAGAGATGGCACGGGAAGGGACTAATGAAAGGTCATAAACTTTATCTTGAATGTAACACTCTGTTTCATATTGCAAGCCAGAGCTGCGCTGGGCTGTCTGAGGTGATTAACAGGAAGAGCCAGGAAAACCTACCTGATTAAAATACCCCAAGTACAGTTGCCAAGTTTCTTTCCCCAGGAGGCAGGGGTAAAAAGAGACCATATGAGTTTCTCAGTTATGGAAAACATTGAGAAAGTAGAAGTAAGAATGTGCTTTAGGCAGTTTGTTCAACAGTACATCAGGGAAATTCAAGTTTGAACTGATTACCCAATTGTTGAACGTGTTATTTAATTGTGGACTCACTTTTATTCCATCTTTATTTTGTAAACCTAGTCTTTCCAGATGTTTGAAACCAGTTTTATAGGCACTAGGCACATAAGGGGAAAAAACCTTTCCAGTATATGCACATATTATCTAACTCACTAACTCTCACAAATATTAAATGTAGAACATGAATAAACATGCTATGGTACTTTTCATAATTATGAATAGTCTGTGGCCTTCTTGAATATTTTAATCCTCCTTACTTTCTTATGTTTGTAAATTTCAAGATTAAGTAGTAGTTTATTCACTGGGTCCTTGTGTAGCTTTCTGAGATATAGTGATCATCTTGCCCAGGGAGTGTTTAATTTAGAAATAAATTTATAATTTTAAAACTTTCTGGAAAGAAAACTCAGGCTCAGCTGGCTTCACTGGTAAATTTTACTATACTTTAAGGAAGAAATAATACACAAAGAAATGATAGTTGCTCAAACTGTTTTAGAAAATAGATCAAAAAGAAATATTTCCCAACTAATTTTATGAAACTAGAATTGCC